GTGCCCTGTAGCAGTGGGTGAGGGAAAGGTTTGGCTCCCACTGTCCTTCCATAGGTCCCTGTGGGCACCAGGGGGACACTGCAGTGTGGGGCTGCGCTGCCGTGGGGCTGGGTTGCGTGCTATGGTTCAGCCCGTGCCACGACTCCTGGACTGGTGTGGGGGCTGTGGGTGGAGGATGAGGGCTGCAGGATATAATGAGACCTAACGAAGCCTTTCTGGCTGTGTGTCACAGGTGAGCTCTCGCTGGAGGAGTTCATGGAAGGTGTCCAAAAGGACGAGGTGCTGCTCGACATCCTCACCCGCAGCCTGGACCTGACACACATCGTGAAATTAATCCAGAATGATGGGAAGAACCCACACGCTCCGGAGGAGGCAGAGGAGGCTGCCCAGTAAACTCCAGGACACGTTCCCTCAAACTTTTCTTCCCCCTTCCTTTGCGTTATTGACATGAAACGGGCTGTGACTGCGGGAGCTGGGGACTGTCCCAGTGCCACTCTGATGCTGTGACGGAGCACTGGGCACCCTATGAGCACAGGGACTGATGTCCCCTCCGAACACTTGGTCCTGCTGACACACAGCACTGTGGAGGGAGCACGGGGGGGTCGATGCAGCATGACATGCTGGGGACACGGCTGTGCCATGCTGCTGCAGGGCTGCCAGTGCTCACCTCAACTCGGGTGCCTCTGAAGGTCACTGCTGTGTACGAGTGTGCAGAGCTCCACCTCTGAGGGCAGAGAGAGCTGCAGCACGCAGGGTTCAGGTACATTAGAGCAGTCAGAGCTCTCATCAAGCCACTGGCCAATGCCAGCACCCACAGAGCACATGGATCTGGATGGGAGCTCAGCTCACACGAGGACTCTGCTCCTCAGTGGGACCTCTGTTGGGTTCAGAGCTGCTGCAAACAGGAATAGGGCTTGTGTTTACCTGCAGAGTCCCCAGCTGGTCCTCTGCACAGGGATAATTCCCTTTGAAGAGCAGAGCGGTGTTTGCTTGTGCCCAAAAAGCAGATCTGAGATGTCTCTTTCCATATATTTTCTGAGTATTCTCAATGTTTTCCCCAAAAGCAAATGGCTTTGGTCACACAATTCTTTGATTTGTTGCTATTACATTAGCAATCATTAGTGATAACATAAGACAAAAACATCTCTGAGTTATGAAAAGGAGAGAGGTGAATCAGTGGCTTTTCTTTGTTTTAAAGCATTAAAAACACAGAATGGTGCCTTTTTTCTATCAACAGTCAGAACTTGAAGGATATGCTCATACCTGGAACGGTCACACTGTCAGTAACCCCAGAGGGACCAGGTCAGGAATTCTCCTGCATGTCTCATCACCCATCCAACAAAACAAACCCTCTCAATGCTCTGTGGCACCTCGAGCATCCGCTGCTTTCTGCAGGCAGCAATGATCTCCATGCAGCTGGGTGTGCTGCAGAGATGGGCTCCACGAACACCCCAGCTGTGGGGAGCAGGCAGCCCCAGCACCCACCAGCACAGCGGGCGTGAGCACCGTCCCCCAAACACCCACCCAGCCCTTCCTCCAGCACCCTGAAGTTTCCTCATCTGCTGGGAGCCGATTTCAGCACGATGAGGCAATGCAGGGCACCAGGAAGGAGCTCTTGCCCACCCGAAGGACTTTGTTGTGTATCTCTGGATGCTTGCAATTCACAAGCGAATTTTTTGGTCCTTTGTGTTTTTTTTTCCTGTGCACGTTTTTCATGTGGGGGCAACTGTACCTGGAAGCTTTTGCACTTCCGATCTTATAGTGAATTAATAAAGGTGTTTTACAAAATCATTTCACCTGGTGCTTTTCTCTTTCTATCAATCACTCCTGCTTCCAGCAGAGCAGGTTAACTCTCTGACACAAGCTCTGACACAACCTTTGTTTTTGTTATGTCCTTCTGTAAGAACAGCACAAGCAAGGAAGGAGCCCTGGTTTCTCACAGTGAGCACTGCCTGCTGCTCTCAGTGCCGTTTGCATTGAACAGGTTTAGCTTTCTTTAAGCAGAACTCACCCCTGGGTACTCCTGGAGCTGTTTCTCTGAGAGTTCTGCTTTATTTCCTGGCCTTCCCAGGCTCCTGCTGCTTTCCCTCTGTTTCCCTCTGTCTCCATCCTGCCCCTGTCTGCTGCCCTGGGGAGCAGAGGGATGCACTGTGCTCCCAAGTTGCTGCAAGAAGCCCCAGCACACCCAATTTCAATGCCATAGGAACCCTAAAGACAAAGCTCCTCTAAAAAGGTCTGAGAAACCCAGCTGGCAGCTTGCACCCCTCAGCATTGCTCTCAGGAGGATGTTTTCTCAGCCTCGACGAAAACAAAGTAAAAACATTGAAAAACTAATATTGTGACTCCCTAATCAAGCAAAATTGGTTAATTTTTCTTTTCCAAATGGCAGCAGCTGTGCTGGAGCCACAGACATGTTGTCAGGATGCCAACAAGAAGTGATGCGCAGCACAACCCCTGCACTGAGCGGAGGATTTGGGGAGCAGTGGGTGAACCCGTGGGGCTGCTGAAGCCCTGAGCTGCCCATTGGTTCTCAATACTCCCAAGGGGATCCCAGCTGCTCTGGGGATGAGCTGCACACAACGTTTTCCCCTGGGCAGCCACAGAGCCCCAGCGACACACAGGTGAGCCTCACCTCCCAGAATACAAACACAGATAAATAGTGTGGCTAAGCACAGTGTAACCAGCCTCTGTCCTTCTCAGCTTCACGATTTCAGCTGCTCAGAGCTGCACTCCCTCCCACAGCATTTGAGGATGCGGTGCTCCCCACTCACAGCCCCTCACTCTCAGCCACCTGCTTCACCTCCATCTTCCCAGCCCACTTATTTCACCTTCAATCCCACCCAACCCTGCATGCATCAAACCTCAGAGCTGACGGTAAGGAGCTCAGAAAATCAGATGGCATTTGCCCCCTCCAAGCCATCCTGTTTCCCCATTTATACCAACAAGAAATCCGATCAACCAAATCCAATTCCAGCTGGGCTGCGAGTCTGGAAAATGGATTATGCAGAATGTCTGACTTCGGTACCTTGATGTAAGTGTGAGCTGAGTTTGGGAGGAGATCAAAGCCTTTATACCTGTGGATTTAAAAGGAGGACCGAGACCAAAGCGCCTTGTGATTTCTCAATGAAAGATCACAAGATTGGAAAGAGATTTTCTGCTGAGCTGCTCCAGCTCAAGCACCTCTGTTGTCCCCGTCAGTGCCAGCATCCTGCAGCTGAGTCCCAAACGTTTTTTTGGTCCCTTCTTGAGCCCTCACAGGGATGAACCAGAGGCCATCTCACTGCTGCACCCTCAGCTCGCAGCACTGTCAGCAGCTCTGTCAAATTGCATTCAGAAAATGAGCATTGATCACACACACACTTGCCCGTGTCGTTGCATAGCAGCCATACAGAACTCCATTCCTGCTCTGTGTCTGCAACACCGTCCCCACCTCTGCCTCACCCAGGTCAGCTGCTGCTCTTAACTCCCATTACTTCCCTTAAACTCTTTATATCAGCCCTAAACACCAGAATGGTGGTCAGATGCTCTGGTCTCCAGCTTCATTCTAGCGAAAAATAATTGCTACAAACCAACTTTTAATAAACCAACCTTTATTAAACGCAAGATACAAAACTCCTGGCACCATCTGCTCGGTGTTAGGATGCCCTCTACCACCCCAGTGCAGGAGTGCGTGCTCAGAGATGCACAGCTGCCTCCCCACTGGGGAGCAGGGCACCAAAACCCGCAGCATTTTGGTTAAACCACGGCTGTGAAACTACAGTAACTGCAGAACCATTGGAGTTAAGAACTGTGAGAAGCAGAAACGGAGTGTCACATTGCCTGAGATGCTGAAATGTGAGGGCTTGATTTGTATTCTGCCATGAGAACGTTTGTCCGAGAGGCTGAAAATCAGCAAAGTGAATCTTGTCCCCCAGGTCCCCATATCACAACTGGAAGGGAGATGTTTCTTTCAGGTGGATCAACTGTTGACTTGAATGAGCCTTGAACCCTTCCTTACAGCAGCATAAGCGAGGAGTCCAATCTGCTCTGATAAGCAGCATGCCATGAGCGAGAGCCTATTTACAGAGAGCTCTCAGAAAGGCTGCTTCAAAGTGGAAATTTGGTCTCCAGCACTGACTGTGCCCTACCCTAAGCACTTCCTCCTATTCCTGGACTTAAACATTGGTTAAGTGGACTAAACTGCAAACCAGCAAAGCGGTCACCTGGTGAAAGGTACTACTGTCATGATTAAAGGCCACAAAAAAACCCACAAAAACAAAAGAGAGAATGCCAGCATCTTCGTGGATGGGGCTTGGCCCAGTGATCCCATGGGAAAAGTAAAACAGGAAAGCTCAGGTTATTTTGCAGGTGAATATTTTCTTGTAAGGAAAAAATACTTTGAAAAATAAATCCAAGGGAAGTGAACCAATGAATGAGGCCAACTCAAATTCTTTCATAGAGGTACGTAGGTATACGGGTCAGCTGTAAGAACAAGCAAAGCTCAACCTCCAAGCTGTGCCAATTTTCTCTCTGCAGAGTGGCTCAATGAAAGTCCAGTGTAAAACCACTGTACCCCTTCAGTAATACAGTGGATTTGTCTGTCCCCTCCTGTTCTCCAACCCTGCCAGCCAAGCAGTGTCACCTCCTCATGGCAGTGACACCCTGAGCTCACCCTGCTCTTCCTGCAGCCCTTGTCCCATGTGCAAAGAGCAGAATCTGCTCTGCAGAGGGAGGCACTCGCAGTGACTGCTCCCCCTGCCTTTTCCTCAGCTGTGTGCAGCTTTGGCTTAAGCTGAATATAAACCTTATAATCTACAATACAATGGTGTTCAATCACTTTACATTATTGGTAGCATAATCCACTAAACATGCAAACGCTTTATGAACCATAACAGTATTGCAGATGGTGCAGTCTGTCATCAGAGCACCCCTATTGCTTTTGGGTTAGCATCTGCTATCTGCAGACATCGACGATGCAAACAGAGATGGCACCACCACACCAGGACTTCTCACTTCCCTGCTCTGTTGCCTGGACCAGAGGCTGCTCAGATCCTGCTCCACTTCACCATGGAAAGTTTGTTCCTCGGGGTGTAACCAAAACCCAGAGTGGCATTGTGTACACACAGAGACTTATTCACCAGCCAAAAATAGTCTCTGGGTCCCAGGAGTCCTCGCAGCACATGGGTTTAGAGTGAGATACAGCATCTTCAGCCACTGCAGTTTTCATCTGGATGCTGAGATTGTATTGACAAGGAAAGCCACTACACCCTGGAGTAAGAGAGCCACAGCCACAGTCTGCATCACATCTTCAGCCAGATCAAAACTGGGCTCCCTCAAAACAAAGCACTTTTCCGCCTCTGCTCTGAGATCCATCCCCCGGGGTTTACATCCATTTGCAACATCTTCATCACCCACTTGTCCTTCCTGGCCCCATCGATGAACTCATCCAGGGACAGCTGCCCTGTGTGGGAGGTGAGGAGGACAGGACGGGGAGACAAAACAGGACAGATCAGACACAAGAGGAGGACAACAGGAAGTGAAAACCACCTCCTATGTTTTCCCCATACAAACTCTACAGGTCAGCTGGCTAAAAAAGGCCAATAACGGGGTTGCAACCCCATCCATTCATTCCAGCCCCCCTCCCCATCCCTTTGGCTAGCGTGCAGTGCCACCTTAGCTCCCAAGGCTGAGCCAGGATCACAAGCACACCCCGCAGGCACCACTGGGCTGCAGTTCACAGGCTGGGATGCACTCTGTGGCTGCTGTGGGCTCTTAGAGAACAATGGTGGTGCAGCATGCAAACAGAACAGTGATATTTTACATTAAAATAAGAAGAGATTTCCTCCTGCTGCACCAAGATGCTCTCAGCTCTGACCATGAACAGACCAGAACCAAACCCAACTTGTCTGAGTAATGCAATCATTCTAAGCAATTTCTTGATAAACATAATTAAAACCAGCCTGCCCAGCAGAGATAACTTTTCATTATGCATGAATGCAATCTGAGCCATCAGTTCCTTACCATCCCCATTCTCATCCACCAGCTGAAATATCCTGTCCACAACCTCCTCTGGTGTGAGCAGTGGGGTCCTCTCCTCCACCTCTGACCGACACACTTTCTTCAGCTTGTAGATGGACTGAAAGGAAGATCACAAGTCAGAAAAAGGGCTTAGAAAATGAAGAGCAGTGATGAAATTCATTGTTTTACCAGCAGTGCAGAGGCCTTTTAGAAAGGCTGCAGCTTTAACCTCTTTTGAGAAAGATCCACCTCTGATCTTACACTCACAACTAGGGATTGCTGCTTTATCTGCGCCTTGAAGCCGTTTACTTCCCTCACAGAACCTGGTCAAGACCTCAGAGCCCCCTTGCAAAGAAAAGGCAAGAGTTTCAGATAGGAAAAACTGGCTTTTCAATATGACTTTTTCCTAAGGCCTCAGCAGAGCCAAATCCAGGCTCAACTACACTTCCCAGCCCCCCTGGAGCTCCTGCCTGAGCTGCAAGCCCCAAACCTGCAGCATCATGTACCCTAACTCCTGCTTCACTTTGCCATTAGAAAATGGCATTTTCCACCTCCGCCTGACATGACAGCCACCTGCTCATCATTACCTCTGCTCATTAGGCTGAAGAGTTTTGTCTGATGTCTTCCCATAGAGGGGATTAGCCAGGGCCTAACACAGTTCTGGCCAATTCCAGTCTGACCTCAAAACCATAATTGAACCTGCCCAGGTCTGGCTCCCAGATGCTCCCCACCTGCCCTGCAGGTGACACACTGGTTGCTATTTCCCAGCTGCTGGCCATCCAAAGGACTTGATTTCCACAACTGATTTCTTTTGGTACTGCATTTACCCCCAAATCCTAAAATATCATACAAGCATCAGTTGAACCTCATCAATATGGCCATGAAAGGGTGAAGCTGTGGCTGGCACACTGCCTGAGGGATTCACCTGAAGTTAAAGGCCAGTTACCTGTATCTGCCTGCTAACCCACATGCCTCCTCGCACTTCTTCACAGTCACTAATTAAAACTAAGCACGGAACAGAAACCCAGAAAGGACTAATTACAAATGGGATTTCTCTGCTAGTTTGTGCCTCCCAGCGTATTCTCAGCTGCTGTGCAGTCAGGAAGCCTGGCTGCTGGGAGGAGCAGGGCTGAAGCATTTTCCCCTTGGCCAGGACAGCGGGTTCTGATGTAAAACATCTGACGGAAAGGTCTGAGCAGAAACCCAGAGCTCACAGCACTGCTGTTCTCATTGCTGGGCTCCACCAACCCTCTGACCCTTCACCAGGGTCAGGCACTGTCGCTTTGCTGCCCACGGCTGCCTTGAAACCTCAGTTATCACAAAAACTGAGTGCATCACAATGTTGCCAAAGAACTGTGATTGCTGAAATGAGGGATGAGGCAATGCCGACTTACCTCAACAATTTCTAGCAGCTCAGGTTTGTCTATGCAGCCATTCCCATCCTTGTCATACACTTTGAACGTCCACCTCAGCTTGTGCTCCAGTTTTCCCCGTAAAACAAGATTCAAGGCAGCCACGTATTCCAGAAAATCAATGGTGTTATCCTGAAGGAAAAGAGGAGAGTCTCACTGATGCTTAACTGGCCATGACTGATAGAAAACCGCTTACAAAACCTCAGTGCCAAACTGCCAGACGATACTGCATGGGCTGAGAGTATCTGTGCTGCTTTGAATACAGTCAAGAGCTTCAGAAAAAAAAGATTGTCAAGCATCCCTTACCTATTTCAAGATGAGAAAGGCAAGCATATTACACTTCCATGAATATTACAGGAGGGCATTAAGCTATCTTTTGCACTAACATATGAGAATGTATAAAATGCAACTAAACCAGCAAGCTTGCTTGCCCAGGAGCCCTGGGGAAAGCACCCCAGGAAAGGGTGCCTTGTTTTCCCTACAGCAAAGGGAATCCATACCAGGAGGTCTGAATTGGACGACGTCCCTTTGCTTCTGAGCAACTGCAATCAATGTTTTGTTACATGCCACCTGCATAGATGTACACAAGCTTCTTTTACTGCATATCAAGTCACTGTCACCCCCCTGGCATAACAGATTTTTTCCCACTCAGCCTTTGATAATTGGATGTCCTTTCGGTAATATTGTCACAAATACGACTGCCTACAACTTAAACCTTTCAATCCATCTACAAACACTCCAATCAGGGTGTTCTGCCTTTAGTCAGTATGCAGATTTGCGAGGCCATCCCAGCCCATGCAGAACACTGCAGTACCTTGCATGCCCCTTCTGTCCCAATAGAGCACCATGACATGGGTGGGAGCTGCACCAGAAGACCTGCATCTTGCAGGAGGAAAGGAAAGGTGCCGATCACTGACAAACCAGCATAAGAACTCCTTGCTGCTTACCCCATTCTTATCAAAAGCTCTGAACATGTTTTCGATGTACTCTGCTGCTTCGTGGTTATCCTGGACGCCGAAGAACCTCTTGAATTCATGCATGAAGAGAGTTCCGCTGGGACATTCAACCACAAATTTCTTATACCATTCCTGCAGCTCAGCAACGTCAATCTCTGTCTGTTCCCCTTCAGCGTTGGTAAACTGCTGTCCCATTTTGCTCCGTAAGAGAAGAGAAAATCCAAATTCCTTTGCTTGTGCGCTCCTTTATAAAGCCTTCAGTTGCTTTTTCTTTTCCTGGCTGTTCCGTGCCTCTATTCGATGTGAATATCGTGACTTTGTGTTGCTGCTGCCTTTAATTTCTCCTTCCCCAGGCTGTGCCCAGCTCCCCGTGCGCTCACTGGGTGCTCACAGAGCTGTTCTCTGCACTGGGGCAGAGCAGCATGTGGCAGCAGACACGTATAAAAATAACTAAGATCATTAGGAGATTCCCACCCATGAGCCACAGAGACCTTCAGATGTTCTGGGCTGTGCCCTATTTAGAACCAGACTGCAGAGGCTCGGGGTCCTCCTGCACATCAACACCTTTGGGAACTGAGCTTCCTTTTGCACATTGCCCACAAGCTGTGTTCACTTCATTATGCTTTTCATTAAAAAGAAGGATAATAAGCTCCCTCATTAGTTTTCTTTTCTAATGGAAGCACTCCACCTGTTTGCAGGGAGTGCTCCAACTTTTCAGTGAAATAAGGCAAGTGAATGAGAAACATTAAGAGCAAAGCCTGATAAAATACATACAACTCCACTCACATGAGGGAAGCTGCTAATGTTAATGGGACCACTGACTTATAAAATTAATTGAATGCCTACTACAAGCTGAACTCTACACAAAGTGCAAAAGAATTGAATACGTGGAGGCAAGTGTTGCTATTGCTCTACATGATGGACGTTTTCAATGAACAGCAACATGTCTTCTATTTCCTTTCTATATAGAAATGTGTATTTTTAAAACCTGAGGCCTCTTTATTCCTCTTTTGTGCGTTTTGCAGTTGAAGTACTTCTGCTTGCCATGTCTAGCTATAATACTGACCTCCTCTTGCTCTGTAGAAGCCTGGTATGGGGCTGGTCACAGCCAAATGCTGCCAAAAGCCCCCTTCCCACCACTGTTCCCTATTCCTGCTGGGGCTTCCAGCCCTGATCTTCATCATCCCAGGTGTTTTGAAACCGACCACTTATCTGTGTCAGCTGGAAAGAAATGACCTGTAGCTAAAAATGTGCCTGAGCCAGGCTGATAGCTAGATAGGATTCTCCTTTTAAGAGGATTGGAGTAGTGTTAATAGGAAACAGTAGACTCCCCATTACAGTAATATTAAAGACCACCAGGATTTAAGCTGTTCTTTTTTGGAAGCAGATTGGCTTGGGAAGAAGAGTTTCTAATATGGAAAAAGAGAGGTCAACAGTCAGTCTAAAATTTGCTGCTGTGGGAGTATTTTGTGTCTGCAGTGGGGCTTCCTCTTAATCTGCTTCCAGCTGTCAATGAGCTGCCAATAGCAGAACGTGTGCATGGGGAGATGCCTGTGTGTGTGCATGCAGATCTGCAGAAGTAGAGCACAGCTGTGGGTGTCAGTAATTTTCAGTGTGTGAGGATGCCCAGGCAGTGAATGATGCATTCACTTCAGGATCTTAAACACGAAGAGGACAAAAGCTGCTCAGCAGTAATAGCAATGGGTGGGGAAGACCAGGGCAATTGTTGGGAAGGGTAAAGCTCTTCTCCTTCAATTAAAGTCAACTATTTGGGCTTGCTAATTTGGAGGAATCGTGTTTGTCCTTCTCTGCACCTAGAATGCAATGGGATTACTAAGATTAATTCTTCCTTTTACAAATGCTGTGGACAAGTTTCACCCCTCTGAGACACCTCATTGGCAATGGTGCAGTGTGACACCTGAACTTATAGGATCTCACCATTCAGCCAGAGCTGCTGGAAAGCACCTCTGCCAACCGACTGTTACTGTGGTGTTTCATCTGTTCTATTCCCCATTCCATTTACCGCATGAAGCCTTTTCCTCAATTGACATTCCTTGATTCATTTCACCTGATACCTGGTGAGGGCACGGCCCTATCTGGGTCAAAGAACCTGCAAGAAGCATAGCTGCTTCTGCTGGGAAACGAGCTGGGGGGCTCTGCATGCTCCTGCATTGCACTGGAGGATTCTGCGTGGCTCTGCAGCGCATTGAAGGGTTCTGCACCATTTTGTGCAGTGCTTCTGTGAGCGGCTGCATGTTGGAATGTGAGCACTGAGAGTGCATAACAAGACTGTGCATGCCTGGGACAGTATGCTGCCTCATTGCATAATTGTGTTTTGCCTTATGGGAACTTAGTGATCTGTTCCCAGGACAGAAAATGGCTCCTTGTTGTTTCGATGACTACAAGCTTTTCTAGCCAGGAACAGAGGACTGAAAGAGACCTGAGCTACAAAGTCTGCCTGGTGCTGCTGCTCATATCAGGGCATGGAATCAGGTTAATACAAGTACTGATGTGATTTTGGTATTGAAATGAAATACCATCGCTCCTGGTATGAACACTGCCCTGCAGACACTCTTGCAGCCCAAAGCATGCACTCCGCAGACTACAGACACAGCTGCTGCTCCATGGCCAGCAGGGCATCACTTTGTGAAGGACAGTTTGTCAACCTAAGGAGTTTCTCTGCACGCCTCAAAAAACAGATGCAGGTCACTGTAATAAAGAGCCAGGTTCTATTCGGCTCCTTGAAGGGTTCCGATCAATGCTTCATAGGGTGATACCTGCTAAGAAATGTCACATCAGAATGAGCAATTTCGGTGATGAGTTGCAAAGGGGAATATCTGATTACACATCCGCACAGCATCGCCCATACGACTGAAACACTGCAGAGTTTCCCCACCGACAGCGTGGAAAAAGAGACGGCTCCTGTCAGCTCCCCAGCACAACAAGCTGCCACATGCTGCAGCAGTGCCCAGGAGGAACTCAGGGAAAAGCCCTGCACAGCTCTGTGTTATGTGCCTGGCAGCTGCAGCGCCCTTCACAGAATCCCAGAACGGCCAAGGTTGGAAGGGACCTCAAAGATCACGAAGCTCCAACCCCCCTGTGCCATGCAGGGCCACCAACCTCCACATTTCATAGCAGCCCAGGCTGCCCAGGGCCCCATCCAACCTGGCCTTGAACACCTCCAGGGATGGACGGGGCATCACAGCCTCTCTGGGCAGCTGTTCCAGCACCTCACTGCTCTCATAGGAAAGAACTTCCCCCTGACATCCAACCTCAATCTTCCCTCCCTCAACTTCAAACCATTTCCCCTTGTCCTGCTGTTATCTCCCCTTTCCAAGAGTTGATTCCCCTCCTGTTTGTAGGCTCCCTTTAGGTACTGCAGGCTGCAATGAGGTCACCCCACAGCCTTCTTTTCTCCAGGCTGAACAAGCCCAGCTCCCTCAGCCTGTCCTTGTAGGGAGGTGCTGCAGCCCCCTGATCATCTTTGTGGCTCCTCTGGACCCTCTCCAACAGCTCTCTGTCTTTCTTGTGCTGGGGGCTCCAGACCTGGACACAGCACTGCAGATGATCCTCACAAGAGCAGAGTAGAGAGGGATGATCACCTCCCTGTCCCTGCTGAGCAGAGGCTGGGATGGCTGCAGGGCAGGCCTGGCTGTGCAAGGAGATCGGCTGCTGTGAGGCTGGAGGTGCAGTGAGGGCTTCACTCGTTCTGTACTGCTCCATCATTTCAGGCACAGCAGCACGAGCACTCCTTGGGATGGGCAGTCTGCAGCATCCCCAGGGCAGGCACGGGAGGAGCAGAGCTCTGCCCAGGGAACATTCTGAGGTGTTCTGAGCATCTGGCCACCAATTGGAACCACTCTGACTTTTCCCATTGCCAGCAGACAGCAGTGCAGGTGACAGGAATGTGGGGTGGATGTGCCCTGTGCTGGTGCTGAGTTTCTCAGGAGGAGATCAAAGGTCTCTCACACTCTGGGAGCTCAGCCCGCTCACCACACTGGCCATTGCATTGCCCCCATCCCTGGAGGCATTCAAGGCCAGGCTGGATGTGGCTCTGGGCAGCCTGGTCTGCTGGTTGATGACCCCGCACATAGCAAGGGGTTGAAACAAGATGAACACTGTGGTCCTTTTCAATCCACGCCATTCTATGATTGCACATGGCAGGACTAATAACATGGAGGTGTTATTAAGGAGCAGCTGTCCCTCACTTTCCATATCAAAAAAGTTGGGGAAAACCAACCAGCCAAATCTGAAGTTCACCAGCACAGCACAGTCCTACAATGAAAACATCAACCTTAGATGTTTGTCTCTCATTGCCAGACATTTTGCTCTGTTCTGACAAACTCCTGCTCAATGTCACTTCCAATGGCCATGCTTCAGTGACGAATAAGGCTGAAAGGTTTCTCTTTCACTTGGCATCCTGCAAGGCACACTTCCCAAGGAAAATACAGAGTTCCATTTTCTGTTCGCATGAAGGTTTTCAGCATTCTGCACATATAATTCCTAAATCTTGATGTAGCACTGAGCTCTGGGGGTAGGTTAGTCTTCCCAAAGTCAGGATTCAGCACCGTCCACGGTGTTCCATGATGGAGGAGGAGGGAAATTCCCCACTGTTTGTTCTAGTTCATTGAAACTGAACGGGGAAGCATTATGCGATCTCCTGAAACCAAGATTCACCACTGAGTCACGGCTCTCCACCTACAGGGAAAAGAAATGAAAGGCGAACGAGAAGCGAGACCGGCGGGATGCTGAGGGATGCCGCAGGCAGCGAGGAGGGTACGCGCAGGGCCGGGGCTGCGGGAGGAGGAAAGTTGGTACGGCTTGGTGAGAAAGCGGCTGTGCGTTGGTCTTTTAAGTTTTTGAGGCTTTAAGTTTTGGTTAAAACGTAATGGGTGGATGCGCTGGGCCAAACGGGTTATGAAGT